GTGAAAGGTATCTGGAGCAAAAATTATTTAAAAATAAAAAAAAAAAAAAAAAAAGTAAAATCTTACTAGGAAGGATGTTGGGATATCTGTTTTTTTCTCTGTTTTCTTCTTTATTTGCCAGTTCAAAAGTTCCTTGTATGTGACCAGATGGCAATGACTGGAAAAAAATGTAGAGTTAGCACTAAATGCGATGAGTCCAAGCCCTGAGCTCCCATTAGCTTCCCCACTGAGCACAGGAAGTGAAACACATCTCAGGGCGAGCTACTTTCTGTTCACCATTTATCTGTGCCTCCTATCCTGTACCAGGCGTGGAGTAGAAGGTGACTCTGGCTTCCATCAAGGGCTTCTGCCTAGTGAGGCCGACAGAGGTGAGGTTGAAATGATGATACTGTGGACCCTCAGCTGCACTAAGACTGTCTCGCACATCCCACCATATCCCAGGCCCCACAGGGCTGCCCCAGAGCATGCTGTCCCCAGGCAGGAGCGGGTGGACCCCAACAGAGCTCCGACCTAGGAGATGGGAGCAAGGAACACTGAGAAAGGGATGCGGTGATTTTTAGGAAGGGGCTAAGGATGAGGAGAATGACCCTGGGAAGTGACCTTGGACACAGCATCACTTTACCCAGAACTCAAGGTGCTCTCTGTGGACCAGCTGTATCAGGGCCCGGGAGCTGGTCAGAAAGGTGGATCCTCAGGGATCCTCCTAAATCCACTGCATCAGCACCTGTGTTAGGAAGTTTCCCAGGGATTCGGTGCTCTTGTTGCTCTAGACCCACCACTCTAGCAACTCCTGTTGCTCCAGACTCATCACCTTAGCAATCCCTTTGCTCTGGATGAAGAACTGGATATGTGAAATAATGCTTCATGTGCTAGGACACTAAAATGGCTAAGTGAGACACTTGGACCTAAGTTCAGGTGTCTGGACTTCTCGTTCCTTCTCTTGTCTGAAGCCACTTGCTTTTGGTTTTTGATTAACTCCAGCTGTTCTGTTTGCTTACTATTGGCAATTGCTCCTCATGGTGCACACGGTTAGAGAGCACTTTGTACCTCAAATTATGTCTTCCCACATTAAACTTAATCACTAGCAGGACCCAGGGGCCACTAGGATCCAAAAAGAAGTGCTAATATTTATTCAGTATTTACAGGTTTGAGGCAAAATGGGAGGAGCGGGGTCATCTGCTGTGACCTTCAAAACTCACCTATCATCAGGTGACACTAGGATCACCCCTATCTGTAGGGCTGAGGGGTCTGAAAAGCAAGGCAAAGTGGTTATAGATTTGTTCTGGTCACCAGGCTGGTAAGCAGACCTTGGGTGGGATTCTAGGAGACTAGCCTGTGGGTGATCCTTTCCTCAAGCCGGGGAAAAGTGAGGGCTTTTGTGTAACTCCCTTCAAGTCCCTAGAAAACTGGGGCCAGTCCTACAGCCCAGCTCCGAGGACCTCAGCTCTGAGCCATGCTACCCTGGGCTTGCTGGCACTTTGGATCAGGGCTTCTCCAATGGCAGACCCAGTCCCCCATCAATTGCACACAATGAGGTGCTACAGGCTACACGTTTTCCTCTGCATTGGGGACCTGGTCCACTGTGAATGGACCACCCTGGTGAGTACCTCAGCAAGACCAATAGGCAGGTCTTGACCTTGTCCTCCAGCTACCAACACCTACTCCCCTGGTCTTCCTAGCTTCTTCATTGGAGCTCTTACCACCTCCTTAATCTTAACTTGATATTGAATTTGTGGTGATATTTTAGAGCCTTCTCTTTTTCTTCCCTCAAAAATTTGTTTGACCCTAGCATTGCACATAAAAACCAGGCAGGATAATGTAATGATATATGATATCATGTGCTTGCCAAAACCCATGAAATGAGCAAACTTTAATGCAATAGTTTGTTGGTAGCAATGCATCAGTAGTGGTTCACCAATCATAACAAGGGTAGCACAACAATGCAAGTTATTAATAACAGAAAACCGATGCTGTGGAGAGATGGAGTATACGCGAAGTCTGCAGTTCATGTGCAATCTCTCTAAATGCTTAAAACTGCTCTAAAAATATAAAGTTCATTAAAAATAATGAATTGAAAAACTCGCAGAGCCTCCTTGTTCCTTAGAAGGTAAGGTGGCCATGGTGTGAAGGGCAGAGGGCTGGGAATGGTGAGGAGGACCAGGCTCTGACACCTCCCAGCTGTGCAGCCCTGGCAGATGCACAAGCTCCTAAATGTGGAGATGGGGTGCTGCTCCTTGGCTCCCTGGGTTCACAGAGGGTCAGAAGGGGTGAGGAAGGCAGAGTGCTCTGTGAATTGCACTCTCATAGCTGTGACCCAAGAACACAGGAACAGTCACCTGCAGAGACTGGATCCCCCACATTCTCCCACTGTCAGGAGACTTAGGCTTCTGAACTGTTTGAGTGGCTGTGCACATGCCCAGGGAAGGTTCTTTGGTAACTGGCTTACCCGTGCAGTGTCCTTCTTGTACCCAGTTCTACAAGAGGCCCCATCTGCTCTGACAACTGCCAGGGGATGGTTCTAATTTGTTTTTCACACTGGTACTTTTCCTGGTGACACCTCCCTTATATATTTCCATGACATTTGTAACTGGGTTGGCCCCAGGAACCCAGCTTGAAATAACCTGCTGGGATGGAGGTAGGGGAGATCCTCTCCAGAGAGGGCATTTTTCCTCCATCAACAGAACTCTTGCTGGGATTTAATCTGGGGTCTGAGAATAGCTTTTACTAGAATAGCCATCCCTGCAGAACTGCCTCATTTACATGCTACCTGTCGCCTACTGTGTTTAGATGAGGAAACTTCACAGATGAGGAAAGAGGGGCAGACATCAACTAAACTGCTCAAGCCTGTTAATGCTGAGACAGATACTCCGCATTCACCCCACTGTGCTGATCCCAATACCAAGCCCCTTTAATCCTCAACAAGTTCTCCTGAACTTTGGGTCCATCATACATCAATGTCCAAATGCAAAGGGGCTGAGAAGTTGGAGACTCCTCTGGGTCCCTTTACGACTCTTGGAAGAGGAGCTCAGAGGAGCGACAGGGAAACAAAAGGAAAGGCTATGAGCTGAACTGAAGCATGTCCCATGGAGGATCCAAGACTGGCTGGTCCTAGCAGGCTTGGAAGAGGAATTCTGCAAGAATGTGGCCTTAGGACCTGGCCAGCTCTTCCCTGGAGAGAGGGGCAAACAGGCAGCTGGCTCAGGGCACCCTGGAAGCAGGACCAGGTCCCACCAGCTTGACTCTGAGTCCAGGGTCTTCCCTCCCTTACATCACGACCTGCCTACCACAAAACAAGGGGTTGTGCAGCTGAGGGGGTGTGCAAAGTGAGGCTGAAGGGTCAGGTGTGTGAGGTATCTGGCCTAGGAGCGAAATGTAAAGAGGTCTCCCAGATTAACATTCTAATGCAATTTCTAAAAGATCCAACTTGTTGCACAGAATCCATTATGACCAACATAGCAAACATTTAAATAATGGCAGAATCAGTAACTGATACAAACCACACTGGAGTCCAGGGCAACACAAGAATCCCATCAGACTGATGGTGTCTTCATTTGTCACTGTGCTATTTTTTTCACTGTAGGTTGCTTGCATTCATTTTGATATTTTAAAATATTACATTAAACTATGATCTATACTGACTATTGAGCTTTTCTGTGAGCCTTTAAATTTTGTGCCTGGGGCAAATGCCTCACTTGCCTCACCCTATTCCTGGCCCCCTCCCAGGGTGTGGTCCTCTCTTTTGTGTGGTGACAGAGCCAACTGACTCAGAGCCCTCCTCAGCAAGCCCAGTTGCCAGCCACCGTGTACTCTGAGAAACCCAAGTTGAAGGGGAAATGGGACAAACAGGGTGGCAAGTAGGGAAGCTTGTTGCTGCAAAGATGGACAGTTATTTCGAAAATGGAGAATTAACTTCTCTTGTCAAGCTGAGAGATTGCAAAAACAGTACTGTCCGGAGTTGAGTTTCAATATAACCTAATTTCTCAAAAAGAAAGGAATCAAAGAAGAGAGAAAGAAAGAAAGAAAGATGAGACAAATTTAGAAACAATAAAAGGTAGGCAAGAAAAAGGAGGATGAGATTTGTGCTAATAAATAAGCAAAGCACACTTTGAGTGCGCCCTGGCCCCTGTGGGTTGTTTCTGGGTGAAGTTGCTGACCCGCAGCAGCATTCATATGCAGCCTCTGGGTACCACAGCTGCACAGTCCTCACATCTGAGCTGTGAGCTAATGAAGACAGGCCCATGTCCGTACGTCCCCTTTGTAGACAGTGGAAGCACCTTGGAGTTGGTGAAATAATGTGCCAGGGCCAGGGTGCAACAGGCAGGGGCAGGACAAGGCTACAATCCTATAAAAAACCCACTTTTTTCAGGCTCACCCTGTTATGTGTCCAAAGATGAGAATACCTACAGGGAAATTCCAAACATGTGCTGTGATAAACACCAAGTAGCAAAGTCCAGGGTAGCACTTCCTGTGCATGTGCCTGTATACATCCATATATTGGATTTGAAACTCATAGGTGTTAAATAAAAAAAAAAATAGCACTAAGGAAGGTGTCAGCAGTTGACAGTTGTATGTTTTGTTGAGCTAGAACCAGCTTGCTACCACAGGAACTATACCAGCTGGTTAAATCTATGCTCTGAGCAAGCCGCTGCCTGTGCTCGGTTTATGGAGGAATTAATCCCAACCAGCAGAAGCAGGATGGAAACAGCAAGACTCTCGCTTACACTAATACATGACACAGACATGAAAGGGCAGAGCTTGTGTCCCCTGAAGGGTGTCTTCATGACTGCGTGACTCAAGTTGTGACGATGGCTTAGTAAAGGGACATTTCCTACTCCAGCTAGAAGCTCAAGTGTTTAGAAGACACGAAAGGACAGTTGGGGGCTCCGTGGCTTTCATGCACTGGCTGAGGCTCAGGTCTTCCACATTGTGGAGATAAATGGTCTTTTTGTCACCAATGATTTCAGAACATGTCACTCCAAGTGTCTGAGTAGGTCGGTGCTCTCATGAGCCTCACACCTAAAAATCTCACCTTAGAAAGAGCCACGTGTGCCAGTGAGGTGCACTGCATCAGGGACTAGGGTCCCCTCCAAGCCTGGTACGGTCGGTGTCCTACATACTTGCTGCAAGTGTCTGAGGTCTTGGAAGACTTGACCCCTGGACTGTAATTGGGGACCTTGCAATCCCTGGCACAGGGCAGGAGCACAGGACCCGGAACACTCACATTGAACTCTTCTCGGAAGCACTTGCAGTCGTCAGCCGAGCGCACACGGATCTCCTCCTCCAGGTGCTCCACGGGGATGGGGAAGTACTTCTTGGGCCCTGATGGGGACCTACTCAGCAGCATCACTCTCTGCTGCTCTGCGGGGTCAGAAGAAACCACGTTGGGAGAGGCACTTAGTCCATCCCGGAGGGGGTGACTCTGGAGTCAGACTAACCCACGGCATTCCTAGAGAAAGGCCCGGATAGAGGGGAGCAGCCCTCTGTCCCACAGCCCAGAGTGATCAGGGCCAACATGTGTCTCCTGACATACAGACTTGTCCTCTGCAAGCGAAGAACCAGACGTGGCAACCCTCACCTACTCACTCACTCACCCACCTACCTGTCCTAACCCACACCCCTTATTCCATAAAGGACAGAGGTGGCTTCACACTTCAGCTCAGGTTTCTAGGTTCAGAACTAGAGAATGATTATAATTGTTTTGGGATGCAAGCTTGGAATAGAATGGAAACCCCTTAGGGTAAAGCCCTCTTAGTCTCCTCTTCTTTGCAACAAATAGCTCTGGTTCCTCAAACCTGTAAACTTCAAGTAAGAGAAACCCTCCTTGGGCAGGGGGCAGTAGGACACTGTAAAGAAGGACAGGAGGTAAGGAGCTGTGCAGACAAATTCCCTCCAAAGTTCAGAGTGGGATGCAAGAAAAGTCAGGGGACTGGGCTTCTCTGTCTGATTAAATTGACAAGATCATATTGACAAGGTCAATAGGATAACTGGGCTGTCACTCTTGCAAAAGGGCCTGTCCCACCTGCAGGGCACAGCTGAGGCCCAGCCAAAAACTTTGCCCTGAGGCTCCTTCCTCCAAGAGACAGAAAGGTGGACAGGAGAGAAGCTTGGGCTTCTCTGGCTCTCTCTGGCTGCATCTGTTCCCCCAACCCCCACCCCAAGCCTCCTGGCAGGAGGGTGGTGCTGGGGGCAGCATCACTGTGGGTAACTCCATGAAGCTGTGTCACAGCCGGGTACTTACTTTGTCACTGATACTACTTTTATTATTTTGTGTTGGTTTTAAAATTCCATTTGTAGCCTAATAGCAAGCGTGTTTCCCCAAACCGCGGCACAGTCAGGAAGCTGACGACAGGAAGTTGTAGTCACTGGTATGAACCAGTACTTTTTAAAAAAGCCTCTGTCTTATTCACCGTTCTCAGTCATCTCAGTGTGTTGAAAGAAAAACAACAGACCCTTACACAAGGCATTAATAAGGTGGAAACTGATCTTCAGATCTAAAAAGTTGGAAATGTCACTGACTCTGATCTTCCGTAAGTGGGGAGAATTTTAGCAGAGTAGTTTCCACCTTTTCAGCTTGATTCTGAGACAGTTCAACTTCAGATGAACACTTTATAGAATGATTTTAAAGGCCTTATTGAAAAACATTCTGTGTCAAAACCCCTTAAAAAGGATAGGATTTGAACAATCTTTCAAAATTAAAAAAAAAAAAAGAAGCCCCAAACTGAAACATCTCAGACACCCGTTTCACACTGGAGGAAAAAACACTCTCTAAACAAACTTTTGAAATACAGAAACTCTATGGTTATTAGTAAATGGCAGTAAAATACCTGGTAGGGTGAGGTAAAAGTTGCAAAACCGGAGGAATTTAAAACTCAGTTAAAAAAGTAAAGAAAGAAAACAACGCAGTGTCTGTGAAGAAAGACCCAGCCTGAGGAGGGAGTGCCTTACCTTGCTCTTCCAAGATCCCGTTGGGCATCTTCTTGTCGTTGCTGCTGACCACGGCTTTCCTCTGCTTCCTGAACCTTAGAGGCACAAAGATGCGTTAGATCTCCGCACACCCGGACTTCCAGGCAGCCCCGAGCCCTGGGTGCGGTGATACCTACCAGGTGAGCCGAGAAAAGCTCTTTCTGCTGCTCATAGCTGAGCCGTGCTGGGGCCTGGCTGGCTGGCGCGTCTTAGCCTCCTGGCCCCCACCCCAAAGCCTGCAGAAGGCTCATTTCCTCATCTGAGCTGGTCGGGCAAGGCAGCGCCTGGGGACACTCCTACCTGAAGAAGTAGGCGGCGAGGAGGAGCAAGAGGAGGAGCAGCAGCACAGGCAGCAGCAGCCAGGTGAGCAGCGACTGGGAGGTGTCAGAGTCTGGAGGGCCTGCGTGTGAGGGTGGACTGTCAGGACCCGGGCAAGGGGCAAAGCCCCTTCCTCCTGCACCAGAACCCCACTTCATAGTTTACAAAGCATTTTCACCATCTTGGTCCACAGTGTCGACAAGTGTCGACAAAGCAGATACAAGAGTGATTTGTGGTGCTGTGGCCACTGAGGAAGAATCCAGGACTGGGGATAGAGATACAGTCTGACAGGAGAGAACTTGCCTGGCATGTGCAAAGCCCAGGGCTCCATCCCCAGTACCAAAGAGGGGGAAAAGAAAAAGGAAAAAGAAAGAAACCAGGGCTGAGGAGTGGGTGATGTGACTTGTCCAAGATCCCTGGTGGCAACACGCAGAGGTGAGTGCATGGTTCCCTACATGGTCCCTGCTGCCTGCTGCTTGCTTCTCTGGGCCCTGGGGGGGCCCTGCATCACCCTGTGAGGAGGAGGTGGAGGAGGGCAGAAGTATGGCTGCCACTGCTCCACCATGCTGTTCCTGACTTGCTGGCTCAGCTGGGCCAGGAGCTCCAGGCACAAGCAAGTAGCCTGGCGAGACTGGTACGTGGTGAGCTGACTTCCAGAGCGGTGAGATCCCAAGTCTACCAGGTCTTGTTGGCAAGCTGGCCTCTGGGCACCAGGTACCATCCTCACTCTTTGTCTGCCTTTTGAGTCAAGCTTCTTCAGAGAGAGAGACACACACATCCCTGGGCTTATGCTGTGGCCTGGTGGCTACCCAGGACCTGCCCCCCTCCATGTGCTCAATTTCAACAGTCACTGGTGACTTCACTGCCACCTATGACCCCGTCCCCTCTCCCCAGCCTGCCCTACTGCTCCTCCTTATCACAAAGTTCCTACCCCAAGGACCACCACAGCCCGTCCTCTAGGAAGCCTGCTTGCTGCTCTGCCGTATCTCCAGAGGATATTCCGGGGGCCCGGAGTTGCACAACAGATGATCATCTTCCCAGCACTTCATACCCACATATATATTCAGAAGGTGTTCAGGTCTGTACCAGTCTGGGTGTCTGGGAGAGTCTGCTAACCCTGCCACTGCCTGTCACAGAGCTTCCCAGCAGGAGCGGCCTGGCTGGTGCCTTCACCCCAACAGCCCGCCAGGCAAAGCCTTGGAGCCAACACTCAGGGCAGGGCCAAGGGCCTGGCTGCTCCAGGTTCCCTGACATGACTGTCCTTTTCCAGCCAAATGAAGTCAGGTGGTCAGGAAGCATAGGAGCCCCTCCTTCTTCCCGGGAGCATCCACTGTCTCCTCTCCCGGGGCACTGCCCTGGTGAAACTCTCCTTCCACAATGCCCAGAGGTCACGCTCTGGCTCAGCTTCTGTGTAGGGGATGCCTAAACTGGCCAGTTTGTGGGGTCCACTTGGCTGGAGAGAGGGGAGCACAAGAGCCTATGCCCTTTATGGGGGCAGTGGCTACTTAGCTCAGCCCCCTGGGTCCAGGGGGAAGGTTGCCCAGACTGCCTGGTCCTTCAAGGTTCCCAAAGAAGAAATCCTCATACTTATGTGAGTTTTCAAATTTTAAATATTAGTAATTGATTCAATTTAAAAGCAGCTTTGAAAAACAATGTAAGCAAGAGAAACCCTGTAAGTGCTGGGCTGCTTTTCCCTGTATATTGGCTACATGCTCCCCAGGAGGGGCTGGGGCTAGTGAGGCATCTGAGATCCAGATGTTGAGTCACATTTTGGTTTTATTTCATGCTGATGTGGTTCAGGTTCGGAAGAGAGAGGGCTGGGCGGGGGGCAGCTCCAGCATGGTGAGTGGATAGTTTGCATCAACCTCTTCCCTGGAGGGCCGGCTGCCGTGTAAAGCCCACGTGCACGTAAGTTCACACATCCATGCATAAGCACACATACAAGTTGTGGAGGTGTACACACAAGCCTGGCTGCTCACGTAGACTCTGGTCCTGAACATGGAAGCTCATTGGCTGGCCTGTGAGATGGGACCATCAACCACTGATTCCACATACCTGCCCCCCCCACCTCACGAACCACCTGCTGTGTGGAAAGCCCTATGGAAGGAGGTATGGCCAGTCCTGAAGGAGAGAGGTGGGAGGCAGCCGAGGACTGCTCTGTCTCTGGGGGCCCATAGAAAGAGGAAGAGTTGGGGTAAAGGAACAGGAGAGGAGGAAAGGACAGAGATGGGGTGCAGAGTAAGATGCTGGACTCTGCAGCAGAGTGGAGGCAGCCTCTGGAGGACCCAAGCTGTGGGTGGGAGCTTGGGACCAGCTTCCCAGGCAGACAACCAAGATGGTCACCGTGCCTCCTCCCTCCCCTCAATCAGGTACAAGCAAAATAGGATAGAGGCCTCTGGAAAAATGTTCCAACCAGCACAAACAGAGTAAATGTGCAGGAGGCAGCCTTTCCCTGAGTCTCTCCTCGAGTGAAACTGAGTTAAAATCCTGGAGTATTTCTTTCCTGACATTTTCTTCTATAAAGTTACATTCATAAACATGCAGCTTTGGCAAATAAATGGAGCTCCTACTCTCATTTCATCTCAGACTACAAGGATTGTAAGAAGTACCACGATTCTACGAATGATTAAGGCAGAAAAATGAGATACTAATTATAATTGTAAAGAGGTACCAATTTTAAGACAGATCCCAAGATAGCAAAGTTACATACAAAAAAAAAAAAAAACAGATGAAACACACTCTCTGATAGATCCACAGCTTGCCTTTCTCATCCTGTCTTGGAAAGATTCCACATCAGCATAAATGAGCTTCTAAATCCTTTGTGCAGGCTGCTTAGATTACCCTCCTTTTGGACAGACCAAGACTACATGGACAGCGAGGACATTCCCAACTTTCTTCCTATTAGGTACAATCCTGAAATTGTGTCTGTATAGTTTTTGTGTATCTCACCAGTGTTTCTGAGGGAAAGTTCCTGAAAGGATCCTCTATGTCCAAGGCACACATATTAAATGTTTAATAGAAGTTGTAAGTTGCCCTGCAGAAAGTGTGTGACCTATACACTCACCCATCGCGTATGATGGAGCCAGTTTGCCTAGCATTTAGCAATCCTGTCCTTTTTCTCAAGCTGATAGCTGTAACCACAATGCCACTTTAATTTGCATTTGTCTAATTTCGGGAGAGTTTATCCTCTTGTTGTGATTAGTGGAGCATAATTAATCAGACACTTTAATTTGCCTGGTCGTGTTCTTTACTCATCTTCTTACTGTGTTCTTTTGCATATTAATTTCTAGAAATTCTTCCTATAATGCAGGTAATCACATTTTCTTACATCATTAGCATGCACAGAATGTACCTTTAATTCTCTGTATGAAAAGGTGTCACAATGAGTACTAAGTGCATTCTGTTCAATGAACAAATAAAATCACTTCCTGTTATTTTGGCACACTGTGCAGATACGTTAACATTTCAAAAGAAACATCACACTTCTTGCAGGGGTTCAAGGAAAGCTTAAAAAGCACTTCACATGGTCAGTGTCCCCATGTGCTCAAAGTTCTAGGCCCAAGAAGTCACCTGCACCTTGTAACAAGAGGCCTGTGTCATTCTTGTGTGCGACCAGCTGCCCTTGTGAGGCCTGCCGAGCCCTGGCAGAAACTGTAACGATGAGTTTCACATTTGCTTCTATTCTGGGTGCTGTGGTCACATGACAGACCTCTCTTCCTGAAAGCAATACCTTCCTTACAGTGGCAGTATTGTAAACCAATAAAGTTTACTTTCAGATAAACTGAAAAGCCCCAGGCACAGAAAACATCATCCTGTTGGAGACCGCAGTGCCAGCTTTCAGGAGAATCCAAAGTGCTTCAGCAGCTCCTGCCCCACTCCGGGAAACAGCCAGCGGAGGTACACAAGTACAACCTGGCCATCTTCCAGGTATCCCCACATGGCCAGGTGATCAGCATGGGCAAGGGAAGTCAGGAGCTCGGGTGGAATTACTTTACTGAATATTCCCGCGGGTGTCAGGCTTCAGCCACCGGCAGAGGGCCTTAGGGAGGGTCTGGATTGTCCCAGGCTGCAGGACACTGTGCTGACCTGTACCTGGAAAGCTGGAAGGGACCAGAGTGTGCACATGGGTAATATGTGCTGGCCGGCCCTGGTCTTTCTTTTTAGAGATTTTGGGTTTCTCTGTCGTTTCAGTGTGAGGAAGAGGACGGGCAGGCACTTGAGCTGCTCTCCCAGCTGGGGGCTTGTGATATCCACACAGTATAACTTCTTCCCCCCGCTAAGGCCGAGGGGGTGCATCTGTAGGAAATCTTACAAAACCCTTGAGTAGGGTGGCCTTGAACTCGAACCTGAATGGTACCAATTACTTTTTCTAACAAACTAGGGTATTGGTAATTTTATTTTCCCTAACCTTGTAAGGACAAATAATTGTACGTGTCTACTTGACTGGGCCATGTTTGTCCAGATGTCTGGTCTATCATTATCCTGGCCATTTCTGTGAGGTTTATTTGGAAGAGGTTAAATTCTGAGTTGTGGATTGAGCAAAACAGAAGGTCTCCCCCGGTGCGGTGGGATTCCCCCACTCAGAAAAGATGTGACCAATAGAAACTTCTCTTACTGGACTTTCTTCCCACTGTGACATCTGCTCTTCCTGGTCTCACAGCAGTCTGCTGATTTTTGGAATTAGCCCGGGGCACTGCTGTGCAGATTTTGGACTTACCAGCCTCCATAACTGCATGTGCTACTTCCTTATAATAAAAAGATAGCGGTGGGATTCCCCCACTCAGAAAAGATGTGACCAATAGAAACTTCTCTTACTGGACTTTCTTCCCACTGTGACATCTGCTCTTCCTGGTCTCACAGCAGTCTGCTGATTTTTGGAATTAGCCCGGGGCACTGCTGTGCAGATTTTGGACTTACCAGCCTCCATAACTGCATGTGCTACTTCCTTATAATAAAAAGATATATATATATATAT